TTGAACAAAATTGATATATATTATGTAATCATTAACTTTTTTAAAGTAATAACTATACGATAAATATTATTTGTACACAATATTTGCAAACATTTACTTATATCTCTCCCAATTAGTGATTATGGTGAGGGCGAAATCAGCTTGAATTTAAGACATATTATATTATTGCAATGAAAGTTTTAAATTGAGCGAGCGAATTTCATCAAAAAAATTGAAGTTTTTTAAAGTGTTTTTCAGTAAGCAAAAACTTGTAACAGCAATGAATGATTTGATTTTAATATTATAAAAATGGTATAAAGTGAAATTTCAGTTTCAATAATGTCGAAGTGATAAGAATTTGTAATTAGGATATTAGCATTTATTTTCGAATTAAATGTAGCAGTGATGCGTTTTGATTGGTATTTATTATTCAAAATATTTCAAATATCATTTCAAAGTATTAAATACATTTTTTTGAAAAGCAATTCTACGAATCAGTTTTTCAGTTTTATGATATAATTCAGATACGTCATAAAATTTGATAAAACTAAGTAATTAATAAATTTACAAATTTCTTTTGGGATTATTCAACAAACAATTTGTTTTTTAGATTTAGCATTTTGTAATGGCAATATTTTAGTTGGAAAAGAAATGTGTGGGTTAGAAAAAGAAAGCTAATTATATAAAGTCATTCATTTGTCAAGAAATAAAATAACGGAAATAACATTCTCAATTTTTATGCATACATTAATGTTGTAAAGTCTTTTTTATCTTAGCTTAAAAAGCTTATAAAAATAATTTATCGTTGCGAATTGCTTCTTACTATTACCAACGTTTTTGCAAACTTATTTTACTAATCTTTTGTTGATTTTGTTGGAAAATTCAAAATTCATTGGCAATTTTAATTTATAATTTCATATTTTGATCCATACAAATTTAATTTTTTTGTTTCTTTTCTGTGTAAAGAGTATAATAAATTAAATTAATTATTTCATGCATATGAGGCATATTTTACTCAATTAATTTAACTATCAATTCTAGCCTTTAAAAATCGTGTATGGTAAAATTAGCGATAATTATACTGCATATATTTTGTGTTGAATGCTCAATATGCAAATTTTCTACCTTAGAATTCTATCTGTTGTACTTCAATTTTGATTCTTCCACAGATTAAAATAAGAAAATTTTCTGATCAAAATGTAAATAAATACTGCTTTATGTTTAAGACATTATAGTACACTTTGAAATCAACGAGGCACGGTTCTGTTTTCACTATCTGTTGCTTATGATTTTTTAGTAAAGATGAAAAATTTGCATACTTGGCATTTGACGCAGTATATATAGCATATCTAATGATTATTTTACGGGCTCTAGCTATGATTATTCCAGATCAATTTATTGTTGAAGAATAAGAAGGCTTCAGTTTTTTTTCAAATTGGAATAAAAATAAATTTATTTTTATCTTGATCAAAGTAAAAAATTCTAAGCACAAAAGGTCAAAGTTTAATAAAACTCTGACCTTTTGTGCTTAGAATTTTTAGAAACACATTTTGAATTTTAATTTACAGTTCAGTGGTTAGTCGTAAGCTATTTACAGAAGTTCGAATAATGGAAATAATTTGATAAGTCTTCATGAATTTTTTGGAATTTTTAAGGAAATAGCTGCTATGATATTTTGATAGTTGAAAAATTTTCAGAGATTAGATAATATTATTGATATTTTAATTGAATTTGAATTCTTTGTCTTCACTCATACTTTGAAAGACAAGTAGATATTTGTACGCCAAATTCTTGATTTCATTTATGAATATTTAATCGTTGTAAAAACTTTAAAATTTCAATAACATTTGATTATTCATGAAAGAAATCTTTTCAATAAAGCTGTAAAAAAAGCAGAAACTTTGAGATTCTTTTTGCTTTTTTAACAATTTTATGTTTTTTAAATAGATTTTCCTTATAAATAATCAATTGTTGCTAAGTTTTGAAGTTTTTTAACTTTTATGATTTTACATTCTTCGTTTTTTCGTACTTAGTTCCAATGTATTTGTTCTTTTTTAAGATTTTTTACTCGTACTTATTGACTGAACTTATGGCAGAATTTGATAAATGTTGCTTGTTGTGAAGAGGACATCAAGAATGTTAGTATTTTTCATCTAAAAGTGCTAAAATTTTTGAATCATTTCTTCAGATAAATTATGAAAATATTATTGATAAGAAGATAAAAGTATTTTTTAAATCATTTATTTTAAGACTCGCACTGATAGGCTATTTAAAATTAATATTCAAAATGAAAAAAAGTGAATATTTAAAAAAAAAGAAAAAAAATGAATTTCCATGTTAAAAGCTATAAGTAAGCAGATCCGCTGCTTCACTGCTATGATTTCTATCTAATACAGTTTTCTGTAATGGAACTTTACTCTCATCAAAAGCATTTTAAATTACTTTTCAATTTATGGTTAGAATTTTTGATTCTGAACATTTTTATTTTTGTTATAATTTGTGAAGAGATTTGTATGATCAGAAAGAGTGCATGATTCTTTTATTGCTTTTCTTTTACCAATTGCTATACTTCAGTTTCATTAATACAATTAGTAATGATCGCAGTACAAAACTGCAAACTGTAGAAGAAATTTTTATGAGAATGAAAAAAATTCTGAATACTTTGAAGTCTAAAATGTCAGACAATTTTTTTATTGTGTAAAATTGTTAAATAAAGCTAACTTAATCAGAAATTTGTGTGCAGTACTGTAACAGAATTTGTCGAATGTATTCAGTTTCTATTTTCCTTAAAAATTTAGAATTCAGAAGAAAAAAACTGATAAAATGTAATTGTTGCGCATTTTTTATTTTAAATCTTTTAATTATCTCATCCATTTAAGTCACTAATATTTTATTTCTAATTTTTGTCGTGAAACGGATTGCTTATAACATCAAAAAGTGACTGGGTAAAAGTTTTGCAGATCAAATTAATTTAATTACTGCAAACGGAATATTCATATTTATTATATTTGTATGCATGAATTTATTTTCGCATTCATAATATGACAAAAGGTATGTTTTTTATTATTTGTATTTAACTTTTAATATTTTAATTTTGTCATCCAAAATTTTTCTTGCAGTAATTTTTCTTGATATTGAAGTAAATATGAACAAATTTTATTAATTGAAGAAAAATGTGCAACTAGCAAAAATTAAAAATCGAAATTGTTAAAAATCAGAATTACTTCCCACTCTCACATGATTTTTGGATTCTGAAAGCTATGTTATTGTTTAAAAAATTCGGGCAAATTTTTGCTCAAAAACTTAAGCAACTGTCTCTTTATTATGTTTTAATTTGAAATGGTATCATTTTTTGAAATTATAATTCGAGTTTGCAAAATTTTTTAAGGTTTGAATTATTTAAAATAAAACCCCTTCTCCCTTCAACTCCAACTGTGATTAAGTTTAAACTATTTTATATTTAAAAGAAAATATGATCTAATACTTGATGTAAAAAAGATTTTAATTCAGCTGATTATTTTCAACTTTTTATAGTTCTTTTTTCAATTTCCTAACTTTGAATTTAAAATTCAAACATATTGGTAGAGATTTGTGTAGAAAGCTGGTTGAAACGTAGAGCGTACAACGTATACCAAGATAACACGTTTTAACGTGAAATATTTGAGTTGATCAGAGTATGGATTTAATGTTTTGCAGTTAGTGAAGATGAAGAAAATACTGAATACAATTTTGGTATATATGTAAATAAAATAAAAGTATTGGAGGATACGGACTTTAAATATATTAAAGAATTATGCGAAAACGATGATAATTGGCAAGTTTCATATGACAAACGCACAACTAAAGTTTGGACCAAAACAACATCAAAGTCACATCTTCATATGATAAAAGTATTCAAGCATAACTGTAATAAATTTGTTATTAATTTAAAAAAATAATTATTCTATTCTTATATTTCTATAAAGTTTTTGTTTTATAAAATCAAATTATTAGTGAAGTATTTGTGGTACTTTTGAAAATATTTTCAGTATAGTATACTTGTCTCAAGAAAAAGTAAGTCTCGTTTTATTTGAAATCATAAATACAAACTCAAAATTATTCAAAAATCTTTTCATTCTTATACTTTGACTGTGACTGACAGTTAATTTATGGACAGCTTAAAATCTCAAATCGAATCAATCCCAAATAGAGTTTTTTTCTACAGAATAAGAATTCTTACTAAATTTATTTCATTAAAATAGTTATTTAAACTATAATGTAGAAGTAATCTTAGGCGAAAGCGATATTTGCCGATGTTACAGCGTCCACTGCCTACGATGTTTTACTTGACCCCCAATACAGGTCAAATTGGGATAAGTATCACATATCAGCCGTTGATATAGGCATGATTAACCCAAACAACGATGTCTGTTATTATGCTGGTAACTTTTTTTTCCATAAATGCCTCTAATGACTAAATTTTTTTCATTGCGATGAAAACATAGCTGAAACATTTGTACAATTTTTAATTTTCAACCAACTTCAAAATTTGTTAATGATACTTGAAATTATATTCTGAATTTACCACTTGTTTTAATTTTAAAAATATCTGAATGCTATTTGGTTTCTGTGCCACTATGCAAAGAAAAAAATTCATTTATTGACCAAATAAAAATTTGCAACTTAAAGAAAGTAAATTTCCGTGCTTATTTTTGACGCAGATATTTTATTCCGCAATATTATAAAGGCTTAACAGTTAAACTTATATATTACTTAATTTTTTCTTCAGTCATTCTTCACGTGGACACTCTATTCCAGCAATTTCTTACTTGAGCCTACATTTCAAATTTGCTCGTTACGTCTCAGTAAAAATCTTGAAAGTATTTTCATGTGTATTGACAGATTGTTTCAGTTGGTGGTATGCCGCCATTACGAGTACGTGATTTTGTATTGCAGCGATCATGGCTTGATATTGGTCAAGAAAAATACATTTGCAGTCATTCAGTATGTCATGAGGTAAACATAATTTACAATAACTTTAAAATTTTAAAAATTTTATCAGGATAAAAGTTTTAAGCGCCAAATTTTTGAAATCTCTCTCAGAACACAGCAAATGAATGCGAGATGTTAATGAAAATTTCTTGAATTCAAAACTGTATAATACAACTGTATATGCATAATATTTAGATGTACATTTTTTTTTCATTCTGAACAAATAATTCCAAACTTTTAGAAGTACCCACCTTCAAAAGGATATATCAGAGGTACAGTCTTTTTAACGGCATATTATCTGCGTGATTTAGGTAAAGATGGGTGCGAGATTACCTATATTAATCATACTGATCCAAAAGGTTAACTATTAATTACCATATTTATTATTGAATTAACTTAACATATCAATTATTACCATATTTTGTTTGTTACAGGTTAATCAACTTATTAACAATCATATTTTGTTATCGTATTTATTACTGAAGAAATCATGGATTAATGAGAATTAGTCAATGTAAGAAAACATAGCATTGATCTAATCTTGCGCTTCTTTATTTTTTAAAAGTGTTATATATTCTGATCTTCTAGCCATATTTGAATTCTTTTTCCTGTAGCTTACTATCACTAAAGTCAATAAAATATACCAACCAACTATTGAATAAACATAATCACAAATTATATCAGAATCATGCTAAATTTATAGTCGTATCAGTCATTATAGTGATTATTTATGAAGAATAATAAAAAATAATGACTGAATTTATCAACAATATATACTTCTTAGGTAAAGTTCCACTGTGGTTAATCAATCGTTTAGCTAAAGTTATTGGACCAAAATTCATCAAACGGGTACACAAAGCATGTTTGAAATATGAAAATTGGAAACAAAATAATGATCCAAATTGGAAGCCATGGATTTATCCTGAACAACGGGTGCTATATAATTTTAGTTGCTAATATGAATAAAATATTTTAGTGTTTTATTCCATAATTTGCATTTAATTTGACTGATTTCAGATATTAAAGTTTTTTATCATTTATGTTCAGTATTTTGCAATTATAGCTAGCATAAAAGTACTTTGGACTTCTGAAAATCTGAACAGCATCGTAAAACATATAGCATAAACAAATAAATCTTTATTTTGTCAATAAAACTTATATGAAAAATATCAAAGTTATTACTGTTATTTCTTGCGTTAATATTTAAGCTATTAGCATTTTTAAATGTATTAAAAACAGAAAAAAAATATTTCGCAGAATTTTCACACTTAGTTAAATTGGATTCATGTTACGTTACCAGTACGATGAGAGAAATTAAAAACAAAGACGGAAAAAAAAGAAAAAGTTGAATAAAAAATTGATAAAAGCAATACAAATATGAATTTAGATTTATTACATGTCCTGTTTACACTAATACCAAATACTAATAGACCGCAGTACAGCATAAATCTCAAATATTCAAGAAACAAAAACAGAAAAATAAATATTTCACTTAAAAATCTGTTGCAGATGGATGTCAGGCGATTAAATTTATCCGAATGTAAACCTCAAGAATATGATTCTGATGGAGCGGCTTCTGATGAAACTGGCATTAGTAGCAATAATCCTATCGATATTGTTTATACAACTGATGAAGATTAAGGAATATGTCCACTGATTTTCATTATGCAACATAACTACTGATGGAAGCACAATTTGAAAAATAAATATATTTAAGTATTTTGTGTAATTAAAAATGTGACATAATACCGCATTTTTAATGATTATTTCTAGGTTAGATATTTACAATTTTGGTAAATTTGAAAATTGAGATTGCTTGTAATGTCTTTAGAATTGTATATACTATAGAAATTTAAGTTTATTTATTCATTACTCTTTTAACAAACTTTAATGAATAATTAATAAATTACTTTGCCTTTCAAGTCAATTCTGTCTGTTTGGAATGTATAAATTCTATACAATCAAACTGAGTTATATTATTTAAAAATCATTATTTCTAGGTTAGATATTTACAATTTTGGTAAATATCTAACCTAGAAATAATGAAAAACGGGAGAAAATATATCTTTTTCCTAACTTATATTCCAGCTTGCATTAAGCAAATAACTTAATTCAATAATTATTTTTCAAAGTTATGATGGAACGAATTAATATTTAATTAGCAATCATTTCGTCTAATAATGAATGCTCTTTCTTGACGCAAAATTTATAGTTAAAATCGTAATGAATTTAATATGTAATACATGTAATATCACATTAATAATAAATATAAGTAATAAAAGCATAACTATGCTTCGCAGCAAAGAATTATGCAGCTGGAATATAAGATTACTTTTAATACCACAAATATAATTCATCAGAACATATTTATAATTGAGGTTGAATTGTGCTTAAAGCATGTTTCGTTATTACTCATAAACCATGTGGTAATAATATATGCGTGTTTAATTTCTGATACTATTTCTAGTTATCAAAAATATTAATATGCAAGTTGTCAAGAATGTATAACAACATAGCATTTGTGACATTTTAAAGCGTACGTGTGTTTGGTTGCATGTACATGGGTGTATCCCTGAATATTTGAATATACAGACATACATACGTAGACACAATACTTTCCATACGTGTGCATGTTTATGAGCAATCTTCTCATCACTGTAAATTCTCAAAATAAAATTGAACTTTAGTATTTGCTAAGCGTTTATAAAATAACAATGTCATTACTTGATTTAAAGGCACAATTCTTTAAAAAAATAGTCATTCCGTCAAGTTTAACTAATTTAAATGATGGAGAATTTAGAATTAATGCGTATGATGAACTTACGCAAAGCCTCATACCGTCAAACACTATTGGTATTTCGAATGTGCAATTTACTTCTTCTAGTATCCTTAACTTTTCATAGCGTCCAGTTAACCAAATTAGATAACAATCGCATAGTGAAACTCATTGTTAAAATATATGTCAAGACACTAGTAATTAATGGCATATACTTTTAGGCTTACGTTTAATTGTATAATTGTTTTTACTGATGTTTATAAAGTTTAAGATTAGTACATATCACCCATGTCACCATTACTACTTTTTACGGTTATATTTATTACTTGTTACTGCCATTATTTCAGTTATTTTATTAAATTTCTCATTGTCATTTCAGCATACCATTACAATTAAAAATAGCCAGTTTTATTTCACGATTTTTCATATTCAGTAACGTTTTTTCTGGAAAATGGCTTCTAAAAGCGATGATTATCAAATGGTTAAACGAGGTCGAATGAAATTCAAAGGAAATAAGTCGCTGTAGGTTCTAAAAATTCTGTTTATTTGATCGCCTTATAATAAACGTCAGTAAAATAAGCAAGCAACAGTACAAAATTGTGTAATTTTTTCAGTTTTGGTCAAAGTAAATGATGGAGAACTTGACTTCTTTTTATATCCCTTGCTTCGAAGTATACTTATAGATCTAGATCTGACAAACCGAAGAAGAAACGGAAATTGGAGACAGATGAAAGTACACAAGAGGATATTGATGCTAAAAATCATGGTAAGTCATTTTTTCGAAACTTTTTCTTAGCTCTGCAAATTGGTTTTATTTTTTTTCACCTTCATTTTCGCGCATAGTATCTTCTGTTCATTAGTTGTAATCATGAATTATACTGAACTATCTTTCACTTCTGTTATCGTTGCTAATTATTCATAAACTTTCACATATATCAAAAGTATGTGATTAAAATAAATGTGGGGAAGCTCTGAATCATAACTCAATAATTTTAATACTGGTTTTCTCAAATATTTATTTGCTTGTACTGTTTATTAATCTTGTGTGAAGTTGTAAATATCTGTGTTTTTATTATCATATTTTAATATCTTGATTTGTGAGGTCTACTTTACAAGCATTATGCACTTTGTATTCGTTTTTAAGGTAATTGGAGACTAATAACTAGTGAAGTTGATCTTCATGGTGGTATAAATATATGTATTGAGTGTAGTACCACACCTGGGATGTACTTAGCTGCTATGGATAACGGTCGATTTACGATTGGCGAACCTCACGTAACAGGTGAAGGGCCTAATCCAGAGGAGGTTGGTGATTAATTTGAATAAATAAAACAGTTTTCTGTACTATAAAATTAATTGTTCACATCTTATGTCAACCAGTTTTCATTCACTATACTTGATATATTTGTCGTTTCGGTCGGTAATCAATATCTATGTAATTTTGATTAGCATTTATAAGATTTTGTTTATTTTCATGTATCATCTTTTATGCAAAGAAAGAAATAATAATGTGGGTTTTTAAATGACGCTTCTATCTTGTGGCTGAAAGCAGTTCTTTTAAATTTCTTCTTATGTCTATTATAATTTCAGTATTTCCTTGTTACCAGCTGTCATATATAATGCTTGTAATAACGGTCATTATAAGGAAGTGTTTGTTAAAATGGAAGTAAAATATTCAAATTCGAAGTTTGGCCTTTGTTATTTCAGATATTTACATTAATAAAAACGCCAGATGATGAGCTGATCAGTATGAAAACAGGTTTTGGAAAATATATTGGTGTGGATTCGGAAGGAAATCTTATTGCTATGGCTGATGCTGTTGGCACCAGAGAACGGATGATTGTTGTTTTTCAAGACGTTTGTTTCAACCGTTTCATTGCAAACTTAAATGCACTTTGTTATGAAGTATTTGTTAAAGTTATAAGCTTCCTTTGTTTATAGGGGAAAACAGCAATACAGTCCGCCTCGAATAATCTTTTCTTAAGCATGAAGCCTGACATTAAAGGATATGTAAGTGTCGTCAGTCGTAAGGCTCAGGATAATGAAATGATTAATGTACGTTTCAGTGAAAAAATTGAGTTGTTTCGGTCTAGTCCTTATTTTTGCTCAAAGTTTGGAGCTTAGTTTTTTTACAAAACGAAAACTTCTGTTGTAGCCAAACTAATCTTACTATTGATAATTGTAAAGGAAATAACTGCAGCTAAGAACCGATGTTAAAAAAGAAAAACATACTGATTGGCTCAATGAAGATGATAAGAGGTCAGCGGTGGAATGTGAAACGAGCTACATGTATGTTTCTTTAAATATATTTTTGGGAAATAGTACGTTATCCCAAATAAACTTGTCATAGCTCTATTCCCAGTTATTTTTGTATCTGCATAGATACATAATTGCAATTTACTGTTTATTAAAAAAATTTGCTATAAAGAATTTTTAAGAATATATACTATGCTGGAAGTTTTCACTTTCAGTCATTTATTTCTAACAGTCCACTTTAAAGAAAACAGGCAAATGTTGTATCCTTACAGAAGAATGTTCCAACATTCGAAAGTTGCTACAAAAGGAAAATATATAAATATCGATTTGAATGATAAGGAATCTGTGCGTCGTGCTCAGGAAGAAGGTAACTTACATGAGCTTCTACTGGAACGACGAGTCAAAACAAAAAGTGACAAATATTGCTAGTTTTATTATGTGTCAATTAATGCTATCTTTATATACAAAAGAAAACAATTCGTGCACATTGGGCAACTTATTTTTGCTACTTTTTGAATATCTCGTAAACAAAAAAATTGATAACACTTACGGTGACTTGTAGAAATGTAACTTTAATTCATTTTTCATACACTATATCGAGCAATGCATACAGAGAAATTGACCAAGTGCATACTCCATACGTGGAACTTATCGTTCTACAGATTATTATAATAAATTCACAAACATGGTTTCATCTCCCTGTTGGTATTTGCTTACGATTATGAAACTGTAAAATTGAACTTGTAATCGAAGTGTATGGCATATAATCGAATTTTGATTATAAACTAAAAATATAATGGACCATTGGACATTAGTAGGTCGGTTCCTACACCAAAATTGCGATTTCTCATTATGAATCTCTAACAACTTATTTTTTGACTCTGTCTATACAGATAAAGTTTACGCATTTGTGAAGTTTCCATGTTTTTTCAAGCACGGAAGAGAGTACAAGACAGAGATGTTTGTACATGAAATGGTTGAATTGAGAAAGATTCTCTTGAAAAGTTTACAAGAGTGAGCTTGGATCTGTATAATTCAACATGCTAATAACAATGCACAGCTAAATGCAGTTGCTTGCAATGTCAAAACATATCAGAAAGTCTCAGACTTCTTTAAATAACACCTTGGTTATTTAAATAATATTGAAAGATCTATAAAAAGAACAAGATCGTGACAACTTGTAACAGTATGACTGTATTTTTAATATCTACCCATCCTAAGTTCATCATCATCCGAGACAGCTTCGTAAATGGGATGAAGTCTTCCATGTACCGTGCTTTCAACACGATTGAACAATGGTGATGAGTCTGGATTACTTTCAACATCCCAGCGTTCAACTAAAACCTATTCTTTAATTTTAAACAATTTTCCTCGCAAGTTGTAATAAATGACTAACAGTTCTTGATGAAAGGTATAATGTTTTTAGTTAAAAAAAGGAACTCTAATAAAACCTTAGAGAAGAAGAGTGGAATAATACTTTTAAGTTTTCAAACAATGTCTACATAAATGTACCAATCGTCAATCTATCTGCATTTTCCTTATCTTGATCAATGTAAAATGTTGACACCAAATACATAAAACCACCCAAACAAAGTACGAAATTTGGCACAAACAGCGAGCGCTGTAGAGCAATAAAATTTGCAATAACAGACCTTTCATTTCCTGTAACTTCTAAAACTATCAAACAAACGAAACCAGCAAAGTGGGGAGGATAAGTCAAAGAAAGTAAAAAAAGGTAAAAAAGTAAAGGTGAAAAATGAAATATTTTGAGATGAACTACTGAAGATCAGCAACATATTTTGCTGATCTGGGCAAAACTAATGGAATTATTGAGCGTGCAGATAAAATTACAAAACAAACTATAATCGTCAAATAGTTTCTATAATTCATCCAAAACAGATGTGAAAAAATCGCAAATTTACCGCGAATCCTATCTGATATCAGTCCCACAATATAAGGAGAGGAAGCATCGCCAAAAAGGTGAGAAATCAACGTCTGAGTAGCTGAAGCAATCGATCTTCGACGTAAACTGACAACATACTGAAACAATACTCTAAAATGTGCAATGCACCAACCATGTAACAAAGTAAGTAAAACTGGTTATGTAATATTCAGTAATTTTTAAGCACTGATAATTTCAAACCAATATTACATGATGCAAACGGCTACAAAAACAATAAAACTTAGTAGAAAAAAATACACTTTATTATGATTTCACTAACCATTAAGATATCCATATTGACGGCCCAATTCATACAACAACATGTTGTGCCCAAAAAAGTGAAGACCTGGAGAGAAAAATGAACAAAATTTGAAATTTAGAGAACGAATTAAAAAACGTTGGTCGAAAACAGATGAATTTAATAAATTACCAAGGAAATAGCCGTATAATTTGGTGAGAGTACAAGAGCCAAATACAAGAATGGTATAGCTAAAAAAGCACCCAAAGCGCAGACATGTGGGTCAGCATGAAGGTTTTTAGGCAATATTCTAAAACCTGATCGCCACATCTATAAAAAAATATATTAAAGATGAAAAGTGTAACAAACACTTGGAAAAATTGTTATCGAGAAGTATCGAGATTGCTTAATTTGAAAACATTTCTGCCAAGAAGTTGCAAAAATATTGCAATACCAACGCAACACTCATAACAATTACTGGTCCCGAAATGATAACTTGCATAATTCTACAAAATAAATTGAAATCTGCTACGATCAGGTAACCTGAGATAATGCAGAACCACCAAGAACACCAACAAAACCAGCTAGACATGTGATTAATCCAAATACTAATCCAATCCTTCAAAAAAACTTAAATAATTCTAAAATTAATCATCTACTTCAAAAAACAGAAAACTAAATTTTAGCCGTTTTCGTATCATGCATTGATATAGGTGAAACTGTTCAATGCTGGGAAAGTGTCTATAACTTAACTAATACGAATAAAAAAACAGATCAAAACCACGAACCTAGCCTTAATTTCATTACTGACATGGCTAGTACTGTGCTGTACAGCCCATGCATGTTCCATTAGCGTGGGTGCCCACCACGCAACGCATCCAGTCATAAAGACGACTGCAGTTAATCCAATAGTAGTGGTGATAAATGTCGGTCTTAAAAGAAATTTTCTTAACATTTCAGACGAGAAAACTAGAGCCCTTTTAAAAATTTAAACATAAAAAAGAATCTCTTCATGACAATACTGAATCAAAACAACTCTATGATTAACGTATTATGGCTACTACACTAAAATACATATAAAAATTAAATAAATAAAATTTGAGTACGCTAGAAGCAAATAAAAATTCTAAATTAAAGGTTTGAAAATAGCATCTAATTAAGATTAATGTTTTGAGAAAACAATCAAAAACAAACACAGTGAGCAGATATTTCACATCTTCAAAGAAATAAGACTCTTCAGAGCTGGAGTCATCAATTACGCTACGTACTGGTTCCTCAACAGCATGATAAAGTAGCAGGAAGCTTATAACACCCAAAATAGATGTCAGACGAACACCCCATTGCCAAACTCCTGTCCAAAGTGAAATAGTTGCACCACTAATAAATCCCAAACCACTAAAAATTCATATATAGTATTCGTCCCATGAATGAACCATATCATGAGATAATCATTTGTCAATAGCTTTCACTTTAATATTTATCTTTTTAATAATCACCATAAAAATTGTTCATTGTGACATACTGATCGTTAAATAGACTTTTTAACTCTTAACTTATTTTTTCAACTATTACTAATTTCATGTGGTAAATACTTTATCATAACAAGCTATATCATGTCTCAGCAATTACGGAAATTCTTGGTATTAAGCTTTAAAATTACTCAAAAAATTCCCAGAAACATTTCTGTAACATAAAAGTGATACATACTTTATATAGTGACTTTTCTATTTTTACTGCATCTTGCCATGAGTTTTATTAATGCACAAAAAATGACATGAATTTTAACCTTCCAATAGGTATTGCAAAGTAGAAAACCATTAAAGCTGTACTTCGTTGATTCCCCTCAAACATATCCGCTATTATTGTCGGTGCAACAGTCGCAAAAGATGCTTCGCCAATTCCTACTATACCACGGCAGAGCATGAACAGATAAAAATGCTGAAAAAATTTTTGCATAAAGCAGCAAAGTTGCCTATTCATAGCAATAGAGATATAAATGCACTGACTTAAATTAAATGGTTGCTATTTTGTTACCCATATTTGGAAAAAGATATTGTTTGCAAACTGCATAATTTTCAGTTATAAATTAAAATAAAGCTGAAATACAAACTGCAGGACTACAAAATGTCGATAGTAAAACAGAAAGCGTCCAAATAATCAAACCACTTTGCATTATAAGTTTTCGATTGTAGCGATCGCCAAAATAGCCGCAAACTGGTGCAAACACCATGTAGAACACAATAAATACTGTCTGAAAATTAAAAGATCAAATTCACTAACAAACATAATTAATCAAAGTGCAGATGTATTGAGTTTTGAATTCCACTACGATTGATACTTTTTCAAAACTTAATATGCTTTTCGAAAATAAAAGTGAAAAAATCGATTCCTGCAAATTTTCATATGCTTGCAACAGCAAAAACGCTGATTTTGCAGCTACTAGAAAGCAATTTTACTGCTTGAATAACCTACAATTTAAAAATTACAAACAAAGGTATCGTACTGACTCTATGCTTAAAATTTTACAGTAGTGAATTGAATCCTAAAAATATGCCTGCAAAAGTCCTGCATCAGAATCGTTAACATTGAAATACGACTGTATTTGAGTTAAAACACCAGCCACTGTGAACCTGAAATATTTATAACCATCTTATCAGTAATAAGACATCTAACTTTATTTTTAACAATTACTTTTCATGTAATAGTATACTTTTCTTTTAGCTTATTTGATTCTGTTTGCGAGAAACCTTACACAGTCTAAATAAAGTGTTTCCATAAAAGTAAATAAACAGGGTACCATTTGCATATAAAATGTCCAACATGACATTTTATATGCAAATGGTACCCTGTTTATTTTACTTAGTTTTATACCATTATATTTACTTTTCTTAAGTCAGAAAAAAACTAAATGACTGATTTTTTAAAAAACGACAATATTAAGGATACGAGTATATATGTGATCAAAATGAGGCAAGAATGATGTAATATCACAACAATACGTTATGGTGAATCGTTTTCAATACGTTACGGTGAATCATTTAATGCTTTTCCAAACACAATCGATTCAATCAGACAAATATTATACCTATCCATGTAATTGAGTAAATTGATGAGTAAAAATACGCTCATAGTTGAATATTTTCGTCTCACGCGGGTAGCCAACCATTCAGGAAAGCTTACATCATACATCATTTTGTATTCACCAAAATGACCAGTACTGGAAACTTTTCCTTTAAATTAAGCACAATGTTTTTGCAAAAACAAACCATTAACAAAATTAATAATTTAAATTATCAGTCATAAAAGCTTTTACAACTCAAATAAAAGATCTCTTAACTTTAAGCTGTAATAAGTACAGATAGTTCTGCTCATTTTTCCCTTTTAAAAAAGCAATAAAAATACGTTTGGGGCCGTGACTGATTATGCAATGATTTGAAATTAAAAATCTCATAACAAAGATTTCTACTGCTGATGCAACAATGCTAAGCACCCATAAGTGAATCAATAATTATAAGATTAAATTACCAAGAGTTTACGCTGAAAAATGGATACTTTTCAAAAATAGCACGTAATGGTGCAGCATAATTTCGATCAATAATTAGTTAAAAGAATTAAATCAATTTCCGTACTTAAATGAAAAAAGTCAATGATGAAAACAACGTCAAAAAGACGTCAAAAAAAAAAACGTCAATAACATTCATTTCGCACTCATTCAACTATACTAACACTTCATTCCAATTTTACATTTTGATATGCTATTACTTATGCAACACTTTTAATTGCAGTAGCTCTCTCAATCTCTGCTCCCTACTCCTAACCTATTTTGCTCGAATTCTCTCTCCGTCTTTGGTACTACTCTTGGCGCATTTTTTCAAACTATTTTTTTTCCTACTAATCATCCATAAACCACTTCTAATGGATAAACTTCACTAATCTTCTCCTTTTTACTGAAAATATATCCAAATGACAAGATATACTCTTGCACCACGTGCACCAGTATATCCTGTCATTCATTCATCGCAGTTACTGTCATAACTATTTCACAAGCTGTCAAAGTATGTTACTATTTGAAGAATGAAATGAAAACTGTAATCTCTGCATAGTTGATGCAGTGGAAATATTCTGAATTGCTGTAAAGATTCATAGTACTTTATTCTAAAATTGACGTTGAATTTATAGTTTCATTATAATGTCAGATCACATTCTTACAGTAATGAATAAAAATGATATATAAGGTTTCGTGGAGATAAAAGTTGTTGTTAATTCACAGTAAGCATTTGTTTTTATGGCATAAATAAGACAAAAAAAATGAATATTTATCTTTTTTTTTCTTTTTTCGTAATTTATTAGCATAATTTCAGCATTCATAAATAAAATGAGCAGTAATCAATCAACGATAAAACAGAACTTAAGAAAGCAAAGCAAAGTGCTCGCTATGGACAGATTCTTAGCATATAATTATTAATATTTTTATTAGCAGTAATCAAACTTTCCTTCAATATTCTAAGTTTGACTCGTTAAAATTAGAGATGCTTGTGAAAAGTCGATGTAAAGCTTTGTTTTTGCATTAATATGAATTTTTTATTGGGTTTTAATTTTCTTAAAGTCAATAAAAAACATATGAACTTTAAGAATTGCTTCTGATCATTAATAATGAAACGTATAGCAATTTTGAGCACTTGTTGATTCAAAACTTTTCTGTAATTGGTTTTAAAAGTTATAATAAGCTATCGAATTGAAGAAAGGCAGTTATGGAAAACAAAATCTTGCAGCCTCGTTACTACTGCCAAACTTGTCCTAATAAGTATGAACATTATGAGCACTACTTTGGTATAAAAACGTTTATTTTATATTTGCTCATAAAATAGTAAATAACAATGTAAAAGTGCTTTCTCTTTAAATATATTGTAAACGTATTTTCACTAATTTCTTATTTTTTGTTTTTAATTTCTAATCAGAATTTTCAAGTATTTCAAAATGCATACAGTATATTCATTATAATTCAAGCAGTATCTGTTTTTCCTTGTAATGATTTGTAGAAATCTCAATCATTAACGTGATCAGCTTCAGAATTGATTTTGATTTCATTTGAAATTCAAATTGATATTATTTGTTGTTTTTAGGTCATGCATTTTTTTACTTTTATAACAAAGACAAATATAAGGATTTATCAGATATAAATATGTGATAGAAAAATCAAACAATTAGTGTTCTAAATGAATTATGGAAAGGATACTGCAAATGTTGTAGTCAAATACATGAAATTTATGTAATTTTGAATAGTTTTTTGAATTAATAAATTTAAGAAAAGAAAATTTCTGTCTTGTCAGTGTACATTATTAGGAAGAAATATAATTGCTTATTTTTAAACATTTTTGTATGAAAATGCATTGTAATGTTTTAAAACATGAAAATAAATAGAGAAATACAGATGACATCTCAGAAACAATTTCAAAGTTTTTTTTTTTTGAATTTTGAAAAACTTTTAAAATTTGTTTAATAAAATTTTCAAGTGAAAATTTTTATTAAACTTTTCAAATTTCAAATTTTATTTTTTATTAAGCTTTTCAAATTTTCAAATGAAAATTAAACTGTCAACAGTTTGTTTGTTTTTATATTTTGCATTATAATATTTCTTAATAGCACTTAGTTATTAATTAATATTATAAGCAAAAAGTGAATAAGTTTGAATTTGTCGTCTTTTAAGTAAAGTTGCTGTTGATGACACTATTAAAGATGTAAAGAATTTGAAATCAAAATGGTAATTATGCACGATCAAGTTTGCAGTGAGAAATAATCGTAATAACAACGTTGTTTTGACATTGCATTGAAGAGTAATGGTGGTTAGGCATGGAGATTGAATGAAATACGAACAAAACAGAATGCCACGATAGAAACAGAAAAAGTATCAGAAGGTAGAAAAAGTACCAGAAGGTAGAAAAAGTACCAGAAGGCAGGGAGAAAATTGATAAGAAACCCGAAGAAAAATTATTTCCGCGACTATATCTCACAATTGATATTTTAGAAAATTTGTGAATTTAAATAAGTTCAAAAAAAATGCTTCATTGTTTGCATTTGCATTAATCTTATCATTCAATCATGAATTTATAATTCACTTCAAGAATTTTTTAAGCCTAAATACCTAATAAATGTTAAGATTCAGTAAAGTGCTATTTAATATTTCTAAAATAATTTTGAGTTTTAACTAAATTTCAAATTTAGGCAATAGATTTTTCAATATTTTTCAAAATTTCAGGAACTTATAATTATGATTAAAGTGAACGTTTTGTTTTTTTCATAAATTAATTTTATTTTCTTCATTTTGTAATATTTTCTTTTTTTGCAAATATGAAGATTTTTCCAAGAAATTGCGAGAATTTTGATGCTTAATATTAATTTAATAAATTTATTCAAAAAATATTTTATAGATTTTTGAGATATTTCTATAAAATTGTCAATTTATTACGCCAACAAAATGTTCTCATTCCTTTCTAATATACAGCGAAAATTTCACTTTATTCACTTACTCTTCGCATTAATTTCGATTTTGCTCGAACTGATTTTTCTCTCAAAATGAATCAAATGAAAATTATTGCTAACATTGAGCGAGAATGAAATACACAACTTCTGAAAATTTTCTTCATTTACTGTACTCAAGAAAATCTCTGTTATCTATTATTTTAGTTTCTTATTATGATAATTCATTTTTGTCAATAATAATATTAACAATGACGAACTGCTATTTTAATACCATACTTATGATTATGATATTTATTATCATTACACTGTTATTATCATATTTTAAATGTTATTAAAGGTTAATTATATTACTTCATACTACATTATTGTATTTTTTCGTAATGACATGCAAGAAATTCTTTTTATATTATTCAAAGCAGTATATTATTAAAATATTAAGTTACTTTATTTTATGAATAAAAGTGCAAATTATTAAAATTGTCATTGTTGTTAGTGATTTTTCCCACGGGTTTTTATTTTTTGTCATTGAAAGTTTTGCACAATTTTAAGACAATAATTTATAATATGCAATTGTTAATGACTTAAATTTATAAAAGCTATTAATGACATATTTTTTTTTGCTTTTTTTGATATAAAAGATTGAGTGTGGAAAAGACACTGTCAAATTTATGAAGGACATTTCTCGCAAATTCAATACTTTATTCATTTTTGCACTACACATTTACTCATTTCATTTTTGCAAATTCACTTTTATTCAAAGTAATAGTCTTCTAATTTGTTATTTTTATTTGTGCTCATTTCAAATCAATTTTATTTATTCATTCATCGCTGACAATACTGTGCTATTTTTTATTTATTGTTATTGCATATGCAAATGCGTTTCGTTTTTTGCATTTTCCTTTCCCTTTCTAAGTTTGCTTAGTACAAAAAATTTTGGCCATAAAGTTTGGTATTAATTTTTAACAATTATTAAAATGTTAACAAAAATTATTCATTAATAAAATATTCTATTAACTTAAAAATATTGCATTTATATTTAAATACTGAAGCTGAGAGCTAAGGTTTAAGAAAAAAATGCAAGAATCAATAGAAATACTAAGATGAATTATCAGAGGATAAGCTTTAAGATTACCTTTTACTTTCAGTGATAAATCATTTTGTGTGAATGATTTTTTGAAATAAATTTTATTCCTTTACTCTTTACAATACATTCATTACTATGAATATTTTGCTCAAAAATCGTCTCATAAAAAAGTTTTTGCATTTTTATTGATTACGTTTACAACTTGAAGGAAGACGAAAACTTGTAAAAAAATTTGCATATTTCTTATCTGAAGTGTGTTAATACTTTCTTCTTTCTCATACTGCCCACTGAATCACTGCTAAAAGTTGCATCTATTATACATATGCAAGACTTTTTTCTTAAAAAAATTTTTACTTATTTTTTCCTGACAAAATTTTCGCTTTCATTCGTCACTCTTACACAGTAATTGTAATATTAACCACTGTACTCTTTTCTGAGAAGTAGTTCACTTCAGCCAATAATTCATCATTTTATTAAAGATTCTTCATTCAGTACAGATTACTACTAGTTAGATCATTAAACATTCTGCATTAATTATTATAATATTTAATTTGTTATTTGGTAATTATTTAAGATGGCGAAGTCTATAGATGCAGGCTCTTGCATTTAAGCTTATCAAAGTGATAGCCTCTATTATCGAAGGCTATCACTCAACTTTAGATGGCTAAACACAGCTTGTTCTTCTAAAAAATTGTTTAACAGTTGCACAAATGGAGTATTAGATTGAAGCAAATAAATCACTTTACAAGCTAAAAGCTAGCACTTCACGCAAATTCTTACTGTTGCTTTCTTCTCAGCTTTTCTAGTTTCAATTTAGCCTCCAAACTTTCTCCTTTCATAAGCAGAAAATAGAAAAATCTTTATTCCAAACAAACTGCACTTTCATTTTCAGTGAACGTTAGTTAGTAAATATTACATCTATGCTGAAAACAGCGATAGTTTCTGACTTTTGATTCTTGAAAAAATATCGTTGGAGAACTGAAATTGATAGTAGAATACTGTCAGGAGATAAACGTACGGTTTTATTTGATTCAAAAAAGTGAAAGTCTACTTGGAGTCAAGATTGACAGATTAAAAGTTTTTTCATGATTTTGCGGTTTGTGGACTGGTTAATAACAAAAAGAATAGTTGGTTTAATATATTTTCAAAACAATTATAAAATGTAGTTTCAAAAGTAGCACACCACATATAAATAATTTCTGCATGGTAGACACTTACTTCATTATGAGAATTATGTTGGTGGCAGTAATTTAAAGCAACCTGAAATGATAACAAGATTTTAGTAGATAGATTTGTGAAAGTACCATTTATTAGTAAAACTGTTCACAAATTGAATTATATCAGTCTTGTCAAAGGATTAAGATTTATTCAAGATTGAATTATCATTGTGCGTGAACTCATGATAATAATTAAAGTGTAAACAAGTGTAAATTAATTACTACTTAATATTAAGTTATGATTGAAGTTTGATGCATAAAGTAATTGTCATGCTGTCACGGCCGATGGCAGCCTCTCTTAGACACATCTCCTCGAATATATTTTCTCAACTAATTTTTGGTATTTCCATCGGTGCTCTGCTTGGATGTTTCACCTTAATTGACTATGAAACTGAGTTATCTCATTTTACTCAGCGACTAAAAACTCATCAATCAGATTATGCACATAATACCAACCGTAATGTATCGATTTTTACGGATGCTTACGTGAAATGCGTGATATATATTCATCATACACAATCCCATAAGCATAAATATATACTATCATTACGTGATACTTACACTAAATATTGCAATGATACTATTTATGTGACAAATTCTGAAAACGTCCGTAAAGATTTTTCAGGTAATTATTCAGTTTGCATTTTTATCAGAAATTACGTAAAGTTTGATTACTGAGAACATTTAATTTAAATAAGTTTGAATGAATATTAGCAGTGTTATTTTTGTATTTTGGGAAAGCATCACTGTTATAAATATACTTTAAGTGCGTATTTTATTCATTTAAATTTTGCTTTCATTTGCAGAAGAATTAGAACTTGCATTTGTACAGACATCGAAAACTTTATATCATTGGGAATTATATCGAGAAATTCTGAAGTATTGCGTGAGGAAAAAACAAGAGCAGCCTTTTTGGATTGTTGTTGGCAGTGAACAGACTTTTGTTGTAATGAAAAATCTGCGCGCAATGCTCGCTGCACACACTCCTTCGAAATGTATTGCATTTGGACGGATATATAAAATCAGGTTATATAATATTTTATTCTGATTTGAAGGAAAAAAAGTAAAACTTTTTAAGATAGATAATATTATTGAATAAGGCATTCTAATAATATTAATATTAATATTATTAGCAACATTTTATCTCTATTCCTTATTTTTTATTGATTACTTTTGTTGTTTAACATTTATCCAGTACCGATCACTTTTTTATTAGCATTTGATATTAGTTTTACCATATTTATTATTCTCAAAAAATATTCTACTTTATAGCATATAATAATATGAATATGAATAATATTAGTAATAATAGTTATTATAATAAAGAACAATGATTATTATTATTGCATTTATTAAGAATAATAATAATAATAATGATAAAAATAAATCATTATAATTTTAAAGATAAATTGAGTAAATGATGTTTTTTTTCTTCAGGAATTTATTGTCATATGTTTTTCCTTTGAGTTCATATACCAGAATATTACCTCAGACAGGTATAGTATTCTCAAGTAAAGCTCTCGAGCGATTAGTGGATACAAGTTGTACTGGACTGTTATTTCATCGCAGTACAAGTCGTGCACTGATACGATGTAGTGATTTGATGAATGTTGAACTCATCGATCCGGTTGACAAAGTAATATCAAAGTTACAGATCACGTTTTTTAAAATTGTTTATTTATTTCTCAGAATAAATCATTTTTTTTGAACTAATCTCTAATTCCTAAAATTGTTTCTCATTGAGAAGAAAGAGTTTTGAGTGATTTCAGTGCAATATTGAAGATGAATTGTGTAATATTTCAGGAAAAACAGCATTTATTTGTTCCAGAAGGATTGAAAGCTTTGATTCCAAATGCTTCAACATTTTCTTCAAAGGTTTGTTTCAGGTTGTGAAGAGAATTTACAGTTAATTATTTGCTTTTTTTTTTTCGCTTCATTTCCAATGCTTTGACAAAAAAATTTTATTACTTAGTAATTGCTGAAAGTTTATTCATTATAACAAAGTGTTATCTTAAAGCTAACAATTCATCAGTTACAATTTTTATACATTTTTTGCTATTTCAGATTTCTAAAGGAAGTGCGTGCTGTAGTGATCACACTGTATCATTCGGTGGCGTAAAGTATTCCGAACATCGACTTCTGCAATTCGCTCTCAGTCAAATTAAAGTGTTTGGTTACTGAACATTATTATTATTACAGCACTTATTTCATTTATATTTAAATTTAATACATTTTTCATTTGCAATAATCATTCCGTTAATTTGGATCAACATGGTTGGTATATTGCAATTGTCATTCATGCAGTCGCACGTAAATAATTTAGCAAAAAATCATAAAATTTAAGTCTAAAACTTAACTGCAAATTATAGAAATTGCATGTTTCTTAAACTTCAAATCTCTCGAAGCTATCTATTGAAAACAAAAAAAGAATATTATATGAATATATAATTTTCTGGTTGTAATTTACATCTTTTTATACAAAAATTGCAATTTTTGGTTCGAAATTAGCAAAAAGTTTGCCGTATTTCAAATAGTGCTGCATTAAGTTAGATTAAGCTGTCCATTGCCTTGCATTAATTTTAAACGGGTACTTGTAAATGTGACCAGAAGCTGCGAATGTTTGCACGTGTATTTGTTCAATTGTAATTTTTTTATAAATTTAAGATGGCTACTTTATGAGTATTTATAGAATAACAGAAAATTATAAGTAATACTAAATTGGGCGATTTTCGTTTACATTATTGAAGTATTCATACAGTATCTTTTTTTATCGTCCATATGAAATGGTATCTTTCTGTACAACAACCAGTTACATACACATAAATTTATTTATTTATCTATAAGAATTATAAAATAACACAACATTGCATGTTATAATAATTATAATTTATCTGGTTTGAATTATTGCTAATATTCATCTCCTTCTTCATCACTAAGCACTCCTGTATCTTTACTAACCTGTAATTCGTGATTATTTGACTGAGTTCACATACGTAAAACATTTTTTTAAATAATTTGGGAGCGAAAAGAAATGTCAAAATTTTCAAGCAGCTATATTTAAAATAAAAAAAAAAAGAAGCCTTCCTTTTAAAACTTTTTTATTACCATTATATTGTAGTGTCCTCATATTTTTGTTTTCAAAACTGTCCTATGATAAATTCTTAAAAATTATGATCTCTCTAAGAATTAATTTTGATAAACCTAGCATAATTTATAGAGGAAAAATTATCTCACTTCTTCATAATCCGCTTCTAGTGCTGCTAAATCCTCACGTGCTTCTGTGAATTCACCTTCTTCCATACCTTCTCCCACATACCAATGTACAAAAGCGCGTTTGGAATACATTAGATCAAATTTATGATCTAAACGTGCCCAAGCTTCTGCAATTGCTGTCGTATTTGACAGCATACAAACTGCACGATATACCTGAATATGCAAAATTATTATTATTGATAAGATAGATTAAATTTGATGAACCAAAAATTGAAATTGAAAGTTGTAAAATTTTATACTTATGACTTTAACCTTTGCTAAATCACCACCGATGACAGTTGTTGGTGGCTGATAATTAATACCAACTTTAAAGCCTGTTGGACACCTAAACAATGATTGATATAGTTATACAGAAAGCTGCGAGCTGTAAATTTTAAATGAAATTAAATGAACCAATGATAAAATTAAAAAATGAACAAAATTAAAAAACAAAGTGATGGTCAAATCAGACAATTACTGGAGAGAATTACAAATGTATTTCTTTGATAATTCAATTAATTACCAATCAACAAACTGAATTTCACGTTTGGATTTAATCATAGCAATGGCGGCATTCACATCCTTTGGTACTACATCTCCACGATAGAGCAAGCAGACAGCCTCAAATTAATACTAATAATTAATTTATATTTAGCATCATTTAAACTGAATTTAAAAGTATAGTGCTGAAAAAAAAAGAATTTTTGACTGTTTTTTATCTAAGTTAGCATAAAAGCTGTATTTTATTACAGTACCATATATTTTCCTCGTCTAGGATCACATTTCACCATCTGATTATGCGGTTCAAAGCACATTGTTGTAATGTCAGCCACACTAAGTTGCTCATGGTAAGCTTTTTCCGATGAAATAACTGGTGCATAAGTTGCCAGAGGAAAATGAATCCTTGGATACGGTACCAAATTTGTCTACAATAATTTGTTTGATTAACTGTATTACAATTTTGCTTTTTAATACTTATTAAATTATTTATAACATGGCAATTACAATTATTTATTCTTTTACACAATATCTGTCATTAATTAAAATTTTCTCCTAATTTATATTATTATTTAAAAGTTTCTAAAACCATCCGTTTATTTTGTTATACTTTTTTTAATAAACAAATTATACTCCAAATTTTTAATCACAAATATATATTTTTATTATTAATATCTAAAAAAATTATTATGACTGTGGAGAAAAATATTTATGTCGAGTGTGATGCCTTTTTGAAGAAAATTAATCCTTGGATACGATATTTAATTTGTTCTTTAATTTCAATAAATTCATTTACATTTGATGAATCATTTAAATTTTTTGATTTAATTACTTAAAATACATTCTTAAAACGTCAATGTACTCTATTTGTGGATATTTTTAGAAACTCATGTTTAGAAATAAGTGTTTGTCGTTTACAAAGAAAAAAACTTTCTAAAGTTTTTTAAAAATCACTCGTCTTATTGAAATTATGTACAACATGCACGATGTAGTTTACTTTGTTAAAAATTAGGAATTAAGACTGCTAGTAATTTAAATTAACTAGCTTTACAAAAATTTTTTGGAATTAAACTATGTTTACAGATAGTAAATTATATAATCTGCATTAAAAAAGTAATCAATTAATAAAAAGTAATTATTATCGAACCTGAAATTCAGTCAAGTCTACATTTAAGGCGCCGTCGAAGCGTAAAGAGGCGGTAATTGAAGAAACAATTTGCGCAATAAGACGATTCAAATTGACATAAGATGGCCGCTAAAAGTTAATCTGACTACCATTATCAGCATTTTATCATTAATATTAAACAAAAAATGAAAGATAAAGGCTCAAAAATTACGCTATTTTGATATATGGTGTGTAACTGGATTAAAATTTTTTGTGAAACAATAACTAATAACAAGTATTTAAGAGTCAAATGCATTTAAATCTTCAACCTACAGACTAATACTTTTCAAGTTATTGACTGCTTGTAAAATATCTGGAAAATTTGACGCTTTCATACCTCAATGTCTAAATTTCTACGACATATGTCATAGATAGCTTCATTATCAACCATAAATGAACAATCTGAATGCTCTAAGGTCGTGTGTGTAGTTAAAATCGAGTTGTAGGGTTCAACTACCGCTGTAGACACTTGAGGGGCTGGATAAATACTGCAAAGGTAAAAAAATAGGATGGAATCATCAGAAGTTAATCACAGACTCAGAAAAACCAACCGAAAATCCTTCTATCTTTAAACATGTTATTTTCTTAATAAAATTGTCGCTCAATTTAACCGTTGCAATAGTTTTATATAAGTTACCGTTGCAAACCTCATTTTTTTAAATTGAAAAAAACTCGAAATATTTTAATATATATTCATTTAAATTTGATTTGTCTGTTGTCAGTTGGTATATTAAGAATTAAATTGTGTATCTATTTCAACTTTTTAGATTCAATAATTTTTGGCAGACAAAAACTTTGTTTTCACTTCTGTGGTTTATGCATTTTAAAGCTTTCGTTGAATTTATGGATTCAACACCTTTGCTGCTCAAGCAAATTAAATAGAAATTCAAGCAGAAAACCGGTACCACTATTGTACTCGCTACAATAATTATAATAATTCATAATAACAATAAAAGTAATGACGATAATAAAAAATGACAGTAATAATAATATAGAATATTTCTGTCATTGTTACTACTTTTTAGCATTATCATTATCATTAGTCAACAACACTATTAAATTCATTTATAACGTAATTTAATTTAACAATAACATAGGTTACCTGAATTCAAGCTTCGATTTTTTGCCATATTCAACTGACAATCGCTCCATCAATAAAGATGAAAAACCTGATCCAGTTCCACCACCAAAGCTATGAAATACCAGAAAACCTTGTAAACCCACACACTGCTCAGTCTAAACTTGCAGTACTTCATTTTTGATAAAGATATATCACAAAATTACTTGAATTCAAAATTAATATGCAAATTAACAGACCTGTTTGCGTATTTTTTCAAGAACGATCTCAATGTGTTCTTTACCAATCGTATAATGTCCCCTTGCATAATTGTTTGCAGCGTCTTCCTTCCCGCTAATTAGTTGTTCAGGATGGAAAAGTTGTTTGAATGGACCGCTACGAATTTCATCTGATATCGAAAATCTTTTTATATAATATAAATTATATTTTCGCTCTTAACAATTTGATCAAAATTAGAGTTACCAAACTGTGATGATGTTAGAATTGCTAATTAAAATCATACGTGCTTTGCTTGTAAAGAATGAATATTGAGTAATTAACGAGCACAGATTTGCCAAGGTTTTTTTGAAATCTCATTTTGAATTCTTAATGGAAAGACAGTGCATTTGAATATTTACTTTCGATAATTTTATTGCTATGGCTAAATTTACTGATTGCTTTCGATGAATTATTTATGGGCGATCAAATTTTAACTACATTTATTTGTTTCTTTTACAATTTCAAATAATTTATATAAAAATCAAAAGCATAATATTTTTCCACAATTTCAAGAGAATTATTCAATAAACTAAGTAATATAACTAATAAACAAAGTATTAAAAAACGAAATTTCATGAATAATTTGCAATACTTTCTTATATTTAAATGCTTTTGTCAGTCTAGACTTGCCATTAAAGCGCAATACATTAGTGGTGAGTGTGAATAAATTCGATACAAAATAACTTGTACTTTACTTAGAAAATTCTTTCAATTATTTATCCTTTCTTTTCAATTTTCAAGTGCAAAATTACAAAATAAACTGAGATTTCGCTCTTTTCTACCAAATCCATGGCTATAATTACATGAATTGTAGTAAGTGTTAACGTAAATGCATATATGGTATTCAAAAATTTGGAAGGTCAAAAGTCGATGAAACTGTTGGCTATTATGAGTACTGGTAAATCTTAAATTGTCAGTTGTCATATATAAAATGTCATAATGTTATTAAAAATGTCACAACAAATGATTACCAATCACAGTTGGCTCGAGATCGATATAGACTGCTCGAGGAACATACTTTCCACCAGATGATTCAGAGAAGAAAGTTGTAGTAGCCTGAAATTAAATCAGATAAATATATTTTAAAAGTTTAAACTACTAACTTCAATTTAGTTTCAATTTGTCATTTGCATAATTTCACTTTTTGCTGAAAAGTAAGATTGATTAGTAATATTTTAATTAAAGAAAAAGGCAGAAATTAGTAGCTATTAAATTAGCAAAAGCAATTCATTAATTTTATTTAAATACAATAAAGTGAAAACTTAATTTAAGTAAATTGAATTACAATTTGCTTTTACTTTTCCATCTAATGACAGATTAGATTAAAATCAAATGTATAATTATTACCAGATTAAGAAGGCATTATTGATTATTACACTTCAACTTTCTTAGTGATCAGATAAAAAATGATAAATAAAAATAATTTAAGAATGAATTATCTCTCTCGACTGAAGTGGAACTTCAGATTCACTCGAAATTTTGCCATCTTTTTCAATATTATGTTCTAAGCAATACAGTTCCCAACACGCATTTCCAATTTGAGCTCCTGCTTGTCCGATATGTATTGAAATGCACTCTCTCTGTAATTAGCAAAGAAAAAAGCTGACAAAAAATATTTTTACTCTAAAAATAAAAAACTAAATTCAGTTAACAAAATAAATTTCAGTTTTAATTGCTTCAGATTTAAAAGCTTTTCAAATTGCAATAAAATTTATACAATGCAAGAAGCAAGCTTGTACAGATCTCAAACTGTGCTGAGAATAACTAAATAAACTAATTTGAAACATGCAAATAAATAATTTGATTTCAAATTAAAACTACAGAATAATTTTGACCTTTTTACATTTCAATCTGTTTTAATGCTAGAAATTACAGCTTTGCATATGTGCAAAATAGTTTTCAAGTAATTTTCTTCTTGTATTTTACAGTTAGAAAGCAAACTGCAAATATTTAGGATAAATTTAAGCAAAGTTCAAAGGTTTTGTAATAAAAATAAAAATAACAACCCCTTGGCAAGGCATTGCTGGTGAGACCGGCTCGAGATGCGATCGAAAGCAACAATGAGAACTGTAATACAAGAAAATGGTTTTATAGAACCAAATGACTAAATAAAAATGACTGAAATTTGCATAATCGATTAAATTCTTTTTCACTACTCATTCTCATTCCATTTCGATCACACTTTTGACTAGCCATTCCATTTATATAAAGATTAATTAAAAATGACTAAAATTTGCATAATCGATTAAATTCCTTTTCACTACTCATTCTCATTCCATTTCGATCACACTTTTGACTAGCCATTCCATTTATATAAAGATTAATTAAAACTGACTAAAATTTGCATAATCGATTAAATTCCTCTTCACTACTCATCCTCATTCCATTTCGATCACACTTTTGACTAGCTATTCCATCTATATTAAATTTGAAATATCATAAACTATTTGTAAACTCAATTAATTAAAACTCTTTACACATTTTATCCCTATCATCATCATTATCATCATTTGAACTGCAGAGCATAATGATTTCTGAATGTTCAGTTTCATTCAAGGTCATCAATACAGAAATTGTAGGTAAGAAATTCTTGAACTTTTGCAAGGTCAAACGAAGCATATCAAAATTTATTACATATTTCTTTAATTTACATTCTATACGATCTAATAAGATAGTCTTTACGCTCTCAGTTGATATCGAAATTCCAGAAAGGAAAATTTAATTCAAACAAATTTTGTGCAATAACAAATGAAATTTATCCAACTAAAAACACAAGAAATTTACAGGTCACTGACCTTGTAAAAGAATAAAAAACTGAAATTTCAACCTTTTATACTGCATTCATAACTTAACACATTTTTGCTTTTCTAACAAGTTGTCCTTCAAATTTGAATACATAAATAATATTATTAAATTGAACTACTTTATCAAATAATATTTTCATTTATCGATTGAAAATTAAAGTAAAGTAAACTCAAAGTTTGACCAGTCTAATTTTCTAATTGCATATTTATTTCTGCAAGTTTGATTACTTTTGAATGTCTAATTTTGACGTAAAATCAAAAAAATTTTACAAATTTCAACTATTAAATCACTGTTTTGACAAATTGCACATTCATAATTTTCATGAGCAAATGCAAATGATATTATTAATCAAATACGCACTATTTCGATCAAATATTTAAAAAATGCTTTCTGACTGAATATGCTATTTATTAGAAATGAATAGTAGAGCCAAATAAGGCAAATTAAATTACTTCAAACTTAGTTATTCTAAAATTTTACAATTTTTCTTAAAATAAAATAGATGAAAAAAAGCAGCAAAAATTTCTTGTCATGCTGAATAATTCATTTGCAAAAATATTAGTAACAGCAAATAATGACAACTAAGAAAAAGCTTTGCATTACTTTAAAATGAAAATATCTCAAATTAGCATTCTGAATTTGATGATTTAATTTTGCTAGTCTAACTTTCATCGTTATTTAATTTAGATATCAAATAAAATTTTATTTAGAAAAAATCATATGAAATTTTTTTAGCATTCTACAAAGATACAGAATTCATTCCATCCACAGATTCTAAGCCATGTCGCAATTTAATAGATTGCACTGACAATAGGCTAACGCGTCAAACACATTTTCTATTTCTCTCAAAATCGTTACGATAAGTATGCATATATATGACTTGACTAGACTAATTGTATATATTTAAACTATCTTTGAGTTTATAGCATTTTGTAATAAACAGATGCATAGGCAATACAATTTTATTTTAAACAATATTTATACATTTAAAAGTTATTAATAATGCTTTATCTAATATTTGAAATGCATTTATGTGCAATATTTAATTATTTGATTTTCAATAGAACAGATTATCTGAATTAATCTTTAATCGAATTTGTTACTAAGTCATTAAACTTGCCAACTAAAATAGAAACAGTACTACAAACACATTTGCGAATTTGGATTACTTAAGATTATTTTATCAATTGCAAGCGTGAAAATAAGTAATTGCTGTGAAAAATATTAACAATGTTTTGTGCACAGTACACTAATTTCATTGTTTACATACAAAAGAGTAAATTGTAATTTTAGTTTTGAAATTAAAAAAAAAATAAAATTATCAGTGATATCTATGCATACACATATTTACTTTGCAAATTATAAGTCAAAATAAACGAAGCCAACCTTACAAAGTATTACTGTAATTTCATTAAAAAACTTATTTAGAGTTAAAAATCTACAATTATTACAAACTCTAATTATAAATGTTCATATAATTTTTGAAACTCTTTATCAATTCTCAATTTTATCCATATACGAATACGAAAATGTCTTACAGTTGTGGTTACTGCACAGCGATGCATTCTTCATCCAAAAACTAGTTGTTTAGAAAGAAATTTGTATACTGGTAATAACATTATAGCTATTCAGAAACCGTCTTTAACAGTCCTCTTCGTAGTATATTGCAAATAAAAGTGAGAGATGGGCAGCTTTCTAGAGGGCATAGCAAGAAGTAAATCGTTCTTTACTTTTCCTAATCACTACAAACCCTCCTTCGATATAAAAACCCTAATGAAGAACGAGTGTTTAGCAAAGTACGCAATCCCTAGCATACTATAACGTAATTACGCAAAAAATGTCCACGCTGTACTTAAACTACTATACGCTAATAGCAAGAATTCCAGACTAATCACTTCGATATGTGCTCAAAGTACAAGAATGTGTGATTCCGCTACTTAGATTCATGCAATACTGTTACGCCCATAAGTCTCAGCATATTACAATCCAATCCTACATTTTATTTTTATCATCTACAATGCAGTTAATTAAACATAAATAGCTGCATGCAAACTAGCCTCCAATAAGTTTTATTTTTAATATATACAAATTATTATGGAAGTACAACAAAGAAAGAGAACACGTAAAACAAAAAACTTCAACAAATGTTAGTATCAAATCTTCTGATTAAAAAATCCTTCACTTTTTAATGCATTAGAATGGTATTACAACACACAAAAATTAAATCTTGTATTCAGAATTCAGATGCTCTACATCAAAAACTTATGTCGATCAAAATAAGGAATGAAATGTTACAGTTATAAATTGACAATATTTCATTAAGTAATGTCACAACGAATATCAAGCAAGTGTAAATTTTAATATATATCATAAAGCATAATCTTTAAATAACAATGTCATAAATTTTTATACAGTTAATTATATGTACAAAACTTAAATCACAGAAAAGAGGTACAGGATATCGTTATCAAGAGGATAACGACAAAAAATGGTCACAGATTACAACAGTAAAACTTGATTTAAAAAATTTAACACAAAAATCCAGCGAAATAAGAAATTTAAGATTAAAAAATTAACGAAGAAAAGAGAAATCCGTGCTTTCTGCCATTAAGCGTGCTGAGCTACACAATCGACAACAAATATTAGAGATTATATTGACCTGGAAGGCTATATTTTGCATCGGAGGCATTGCAGCTTATTAATAACTCTTGAATCAGAGTTTCATATTCATTGATGAATTCTGACCTCAACTGGATTCAGAATCTTGTCCACTGAAATACATGAACCACTGACTGTTATTCAAACGAGCAAACTTCAAAAAAAGGAATAACAAAAAATTGAACCTAAAGTGTATACATAGTGATGAAAACAAAAAAGTGATGAGAATCGCAGAAAAATTTTTCAGGAAAGCCTTAACTTGTAAAAAAATTTATATAAAAATAAAAAAGAAGACCACAGTGACAATTTTTCCTAATCCATCTGCAACTAGGTCATGAAAACCCATTCTACTCAACCATAAAGAACAAAGTTCACTGCAGATAGAAATAATGACGAAAACGCAGAGATCATTAATCAGCTTACATGCAAATAACCTATCATCCTATGAGAAGTAAACAGATATTTATCAATAACAGAAGTCTGTAAACGCTTGACACTGTTGATAAAATATCCAAGGAATGGAAAGCTGGGAGCAATAGATCCGAAAAAACTTAATTATTGCTCAGTAGATTTATTGCAATTTATTAACAAATACAATAAAGATATAACTGTTCAAGGCAATAAAAGAATATATTTGTGAGAAAATGTTTTCAAACTCCCATGTGAGGAATTACTTACTGTGTATTGCTCTATCTACTCGAACACGGATATTTAACATCCATATTTAAAGAAATTACCCAAAACTCATAAGGAAGTCCAATTATGTTTGAAGAAAAGCATCATGTCTGAAAAAGGGCAAAAAGTCAATACCAGAAGTTTCTGGTATGTTCCATTATATTAATGACCGTATTCCACAGATGCTAACAAATTGTGAGCAAAAGTGAGTGCGAGTACGCGGATTTTACGGATAAAATATTTATGGTACTCCAGCGCTCGTATTTCTACATGTTTTCCAGACTGCTTAAACCCGTCCAGAAATCACTTACTTTGATG